TGGTAATTTTTATTATAAGACCAATCACAGTTGGAATGATTAGGATCAATTGTATTTCATAATTTCGTTCTCCAATTTATACAGCTAGAAACTTTTCCTCTTGCTTTGACCAATGCTGCATCGTCTGGTGGTCAGCCGTCTGGCTACTCTGACCTTCGTTTTCATATCTCTTGAAGGGATTACCACCTCGGTAATTATCTGGGGAGAATTCTAGCAAGTCAGATTAACAGTAAAGTTCATAAAGATAATTGCCGAGGTGGTTCAGCCTATGGCTGTAAAACTTGTATTACGAGGCTGTATCCAGAAGCTTCGGTTGCAACTATGCCAGGTCTTTCTATTCAGAGTTGCATACCTCAGTCGTAAGTACTGGGATTAAAATCGAAAGGCTAAAGTTCGTATTTCACCTCATACGGGCAGCTAAAGCACTTCAGAGTGGTCCTGGTCGTGTGTGATTCACTCAGAGTTTTGTTTTTTAGTGGTTGAAAGTAAAATTGTTGAAATTTCTGACTTCCCTGCTTGTAATATTTTCAACTTACGAGGTCTTGTCGCAGTGTTGAGTTAAGGCGTATATGACTTAATGGACCGAAACGTCTTATTCTTGCCTCGTTTCTTCATTCTGTTCCCGCTTCCTGTGTTCAATGAGCCTTCGTCATTTCGGCATCCAAGGTTAACCTGGATGCTACAATCGGCTTAGCATTGGTGGTAATGAGCGAATCTTTGTACGATCGGTTACTGTAGAGAAGAAAAAGAGGAAGAAAGGAGCGAAGAAGTGGAATTACTGATTTTGAGCGTGTGAACAGCACTGGCCCAGAAAAAATTCAAATTCTTAGGGATGATACGTTTATTTATAAATGCCAGAATTTTTTTTTCCAGGTGATTGATGGTTGATAAGCGTTAAATTTTGTTGAACGGCTGTTTGCCTTCGTTGTTTTATGTGTATTGTTAGACTGTTGGGTTTTAGATATGCAGTTATTGCAACATCCTGTGCTGCTTGTCCTGAACTGCGATGCGAACGCCCCGGCTGTGGAACACTTTTTTGCTATCACTGCAAAGGTCCCTGGCATGCCAGTCAAACATGTGATGAGGCACGAAGGGAACGTGGTGAAACGTATCGACGTACCGTGCCACAAGTTTCTACTTCACAAGAAAATACCCTTAAAAGTATGCATTTTTTTGGAAAAATCTGTGGACTCTCTTATTTCCTCGCTTAAGGCTATGCACGTGTTTCCCTCCTCCCTCCCCGCTGTCTTTACTTGGACGAGCCGATTTTGAGTTATAAGACCCAAAAGTTTGCGGAGCTGGTATGAATCGGGCGAAATTCCTGAAATTAGCATTTTAGGCCATTTTTTGTTCACTGTTTTGAGGCCAACTTCCTTTCGTAAGAGATGCAAAATTTCCTGTAGGAGAATGAAAAGTCAATTAGAAGGTGCAGAATTTAGCGGAAATAAGCATAAAAATTTGTCCAGAACGACCTCAGATATAAGTGTGTAAAATTTATCGATGATTTCGTTGAAACTGATTAGGAAGTGCCAAATTTCGTTGAAAAGAAAGAAGCTGAATCTCGAGAATCTGGCGAATAATATATGCTGGTCCATCAGCTGTTATTCATAGTTGCTTCATCCACACAGTTAGTTGGTCAGCTTGCTGGCGATCCTGACGTTCGTTTCATCTCCTAAAAGATGATCACCTCTATTGTCTGAAGCATAGACGGATCCAGGAGGGGAGGAGAGCAAGGGAGCGGCCAGTGCACCGACTGCCAGTGCGAAAATGCGTTTTCTACATAGTTACCCGCAGGTTTTTGTAGCTAACGGCGCTGTTTTATCCGGCAAATGCTTCCATCTAAAAGAATTGAGACTGATTACCAGGACTGCCAGAAAACACCGCTTAAAATTTCAACTTTCTAGCTTTTCTTGGGTCTTTCACCCCCTCCCCTTCCCCCAGCGACACAGGTACCAGATCTATAAAAGTCCGGGTTTGAAGCTAAACTTGAAGAAAACTCCCGTCCACGGCCCCTTCCCCTCGGTCATCGCTGCCTCAGAAACCTCATCCTCCGGTTTTCGCTAGCTCAGAAGCCCACTCCCCATTGGAAGCCTCCTGGATCCGACAGTGAGTAGAAGCATTTGAGCAGGGCTTTAATCGTTTCGAGGTGTCCAATATAGAATATCATGAAATACCTTATGACCAAGGAAAGATAGCCTCTTTCGTCTTATTGGGCTGCTTCTTTTTTTTCATTGCATTCGTTCACTTATGGATTCTTCTGTTGAACTGGCGGCCTTCTTTATATTTGTTTTCAAGAATGTTCAGCATCGGCTAATAATAGATTTTTTGGTGAAATTTTTAATGCCCATTCTCTTCTGGGCAGTGATCATTTATGCAAATTTGATTTCTTCTTAACCCCCCTCCCTCCCCTCATTTTTTATATCCTCCCGTTTTTGCCCGCTTCAAGTTTCAGCTTTCTAAATAGTGGATGTTGCACGATTGTTAACTTGGCCCATTTGGGTCGAAGAGCACTTTCATTACAGTTTCATTCCAGCGCTATAGTTGCAATGCTTTTTGTACGTTTCCTCCCCCTCCCTTTCCGTCTCAGTTCATCTACCCCGATGATGCGGGAATTAAACACCTAGTTATTACGTTATTCTCATGAAATTGCCTCCTCATAACTACATAGAATTACTACCCATATCATATGTTAGTTTCCTCCACACTTTTATTACTTCCATGCTGTTGCACTTTTCCACTCTCTCTCCCTCTCTTTCTTTCACGTCTCTGTCTTGCAAAATAGTTACATGTCCTTTCAATACATGGCCGGTAGGAGGCTGTACTGACGATTCCCACCCCTATCCACATGCATAGTCCAGTCTGTGTTTACAGCTAAGGGATGAAACACACAGAGAGAGTGCATCGTAAAATGTCTTTTTGTACATGACACCTAAGTTCAATCCTTCTACTCTACTATTCTATACGAAATATATACGAAAGCTGCACACGTTTATGACCGAACAATAAAGTTGTCTTGTTTCCAGGAGGCGATATCAAAGCGTGTCCTCGATGCCGCACATATATCGTGAAAATGAACGATGGTTCATGCAATCATATGGTTTGCGCAATGTGTGGTGCTCAATTTTGCTGGCTTTGTTTGCGGGAAATTAACGATTTGCATTATTTGAGGTGGTTTTTTCTAACTGTTTATTTTAAAATTATGTTGAAATTATTGACACCTGATGAATGATTCTGACCCCGGTTTTGCTCCCCTCAACAAGAATAGCCATCCTTCGCCGTGTTATGCT